CCCAGTATGTCCTACATCAATGTTTTTTAAGGCTCAGTGCCACTGATCGGTATACATTTGCCCAGTATGTCCTACATCAATGTTTTTTAAGGCTCAGTGCCACTGCTCGGTATACATTTGCCCAGTATGTCCTACATCAATGTTTTTTAAGGCTCAGTGCCACTGATCGGTATACATTTGCCCAGTATGTCCTACATCAATGTTTTTTAAGGCTCAGTGCCACTGCTCGGTATACATTTTCCCAGTATGTCCTACATCAATGTTTTTTAAGGCTCAGTGCCACTGATCGGTATACATTTGCCCAGTATGTCCTACATCAATGTTTTTTAAGGCTCAGTGCCACTGCTCGGTATACCCAACACTAATTTTTTTTCAAAGTTAAGTGCCTCTGACCAATATGTTTTTAACCGGTACTCCGATCGCTGATGTTTCTCCTAATATATCCTCAGCAGATATTAAAATATCGAATAAATATGATAATATCAACGAATAAATTAATATTAAATCGGATATGACAAATATTTCTGACATTCAATAAGGCGACTATGTGATTGTTGACATTCACCGGTGAAAGTCGACATTCGCTTGATTTCGGCCTTTCATATAGAGTCAGAATATTCAAATGATTTCACAATGACGATAATAAAAAAGACTGTTATGCTAGTCACTTTTATTTAAGCTGAATAGACAGTTAATTTCTTTATAAAACTTGATCAGACAGCGTTTCTCAACTGAGGGTAGCGGAAACGAATCGGGGTGAAATTAAGAAATATTATCAAACCACAGAAGAAAGTAGGGTAGCTTAGATTAGAAGGCCTTGATCAAAAACTTGTCGAATTTGATCAAGTTGTGTCAACGACTCCTGTATTGCTCACGTTCACACAGGCACAAAAACCAGAAAGTTTTTTTAAAAAAGGAAAGAATGAGCTCGAACTGTATACTTACGATTCGCAAACTTTGGACGTTTTGACATTTCCTCGATCGATTTTATTTCGTAAGGCTTTCACCTGAAAAGCAGAACAATCTCTTTGAATAAACGCAAGAAGTAAATAATTTCTGTTTCTTTATCTCATAATTCAGAACATCCCTCATAAATATTCATAAATGTCCAAAAAATTAAGAATTAGTTCGCATCACCAACCATGACAACATCAAGACCTTAGATACGAATTTCAATCTTTTTATTGCAGATGTGAGTTTTCCAGGAAAAAGGATCTTAATTCGATATACGTGTTGTTGTAATGGTAAAATGAAAACAGGGTACCAATTGTTTAAAATGGAGATGTATCGAGAATATATATCTCATGCATAAAAAAATGAGGAACTAGTTATGTTATAGTAAGAATTTTTTCTTAATATATTTTGAAAAACCAATTTAACGATCCACCACCTGCGGCTGGAGTACCTTCCAAGGAGTGGAACCATCATCATTTCATGCAATTTGTACCCAATTTTTATTTCACGATTACAGTGCCATCTATTGACTCAAATTTGCAATAAAAAATGGAGATTCCTATCTAAAGTTTTGATATTGCCCTCCGCGCCACTTCCAGAGGTTTATCTGGGGTGTTGATATGATTCAATGCATCTTTTGAACACATTTTACAATTATGTTGAGATTTTTAATCCCATGCGTACTTTTTCAAAAAATTAACTATTTTATTTTATAACCGGCGTTATACAACTAAAACGATGGCATGTCTGCACACGACGGTCAATTCTTGAAAAAATTTAAATTGGGTTCAAAAATTATTGTGGCGGAAAAAGCTGACATATTTTTGAACGCTCAAAAACAAGGCGGCCATTGTCAAGACCAACAGGTGTGAGTAAGGAAAGCAAAAGAGATTTGAAAAAAAGAAAGCACAAAACCGCTAATAGAAATATGGAGAACATAATAAAGTTGAAAAATATAACTAAGAAAAGCCGCGGTGACCGAAAGAAGCAAATCGAAGCAGGTGGTATGGAAGATCTGTTAGTCAAATTTGTTTTGTTTCCCTCATTCAGGTCTGGCGATGTCTTGAGAATAAGCTCCTATTTCGGGTATCTTTCCGCTTCAGTTTCTGCAGCTCTTTTTCTGTCTTTCAAGTATACGAACTGATCAGCTATGATCGGGATACGAACCTCAGTCACCTTATAGAATAGCGAACATATCCTTAAAACATGCATCTCGTATCATGATTTGTCCGATACTGAGCACTTGTTTCAGTTGGATTCATGGTGTTAGGGGTATCCCTTACATGTTCAGTGCTTATTTTAAAGTACTAGAGTACTAGTATTCAAGTACTAGAGTCTTGTGTATTTTAAATGTTAACCATAAAATGTCAATTTTGGATGGTGATAGAAAACCTGTACTACCTGTCTTCGGAGATGGTCTATTTGATTTGTGGCTTCAGCTTCCGTTTGCGGGATGAATTGCTGAAAAAGAAACAAAATGTTAAAAAGAAAGTAGTAGGGGAGAGTGGGGTCAATTGTAACATTTTTTACTTAATTATTTTTAACTAACAAAAAATCCAATATATTATCAGTATTAATTGACAGACGAGTAAAGTAGACTATTCTCTACTAGAAAAAAAATAAATACCTTATTTTAAATGTTATTATATTAGTAATTAACAATTTTCGACAATCGTGCACTTGTTACAATTGTCCCCACTTACGGGGTCAATTGTAACAGTTCATAAATTCAACTAAAACATAGTCAATTATACATATTATCATAGTTGTGATATATTTTTTTATTGATCAAAATAGTAGTGATATTTTAGGAGTAAAAATAATAATGAGCAGAGACCTAAAGGGTTAAACTTTTAACTTTAAGGGGTTAAAAATTTTAATTTATGCTGTGAAAGGTGACAAATAAAATAATGCACATGCAACATAATATAAATGATATAGGAAACTATTGGTGGTTCTTAAAGAGTTAAGTAATGGTTTGTAAACATAAGATTATTTATTTTCAGCTGTTACAATCGTCCCTTTACTTATTGTTACAATTGTCCCCAAGACGCCATTTCAGCTTCATTTGTTAAAAACAATGCTAGTTAATTAACTAAACTAATCTTTTTTTTCTGAAATGTTAATTAAGGTGTCCACTTACATATTCGGTTAATAATTTTTATTTATTTAAACAAAATTACTTTGTTGCAATATAATATTCTAATACCAAAAAAATTACTTGCGTAGCGTGAAAATATCTTTTGTGATGTCACTCTTTCAAAAGTACCTAGAAATGGTTGCCAGCAGGGGTGTACATGTAGATTTATTAAATACACCTTGTGCGCCACCTAGGAACCAAATCTAAAACCCGACATTCGAAATTTTTGCTCTGTTAGAATCGTACCCTGTTACAATTGACCCCACTCTCCCCTACTAAATTATTGCCATATATTAAACAGAATAAAAATGCACTCTAACATAAAAATAAAAAACCGTTTACTGCGAAGACGTTTAGCAGAAAAAGTAGTACAACTAGCGGTTTTCCGGCTACAATTGTAATGGATAACTTTTTCTATGGTGGTTGTTAGTCTTTGACTACTCGTTCGAAGATCTTATGTTCGATCCCAGTCAACTGCAAATAAACATATTTTTCTACACGACTTCACACGGTTGAATAATTATTGACGTATTCATTAATGAAACAATACAGTGTTAGGATTCTTGAGAAAATATATATGTATTGAAAGCTTAAATTATTTCATTTTTCACAAAATTGTGGCCCCTGTAGATATTTAGCGCCATTTTCATTCTAAGCAAAGAGGGCGCTGCTTAGATAACTGTCATTTCACGAAATCAACAATTATAACATCTATACAGGGGGATTCTAAAAAGATGGACAAAATTTTAAGAAGTGATAGTACACACACAAGCAAACAATTTTTATCAAAGAATGCATGGTCGAAAACAAAGCGCAAAGGTGCTGGCGCATTTGGAAAGTTGTTTGATGCAAACGTGAAAGCTCCATTCCTGTTGAGAGTTACTGCGCTGCGTTACTTGTCGCCAAGCTTTCGGCCGCTGCAGAAAAAGTTCGTGATATGCCTGGTGTGTTTCAGAATGTTCGCCTATCTTTTCTTCGCCGTTGTACTACGTCTGCTTTGAACACTTATTGTAATCACATGCCATTAAATTTGCTTTTATAACTTAACTTCATCGTTCTTTGTGTGTTTTTGTCTGATATAAGAACATAAACTTTGACGCCCTCTAGCGGTTTTGCGTTTTGTTTTCCACCATGCATTCTTTGATAAAAATTGTTTGCTTGGGTGTGTACTATCACTTCCTAAAATGTTGCCCATCTTTTTAGAATCACCCTGTATACTAATTATGTTTCTGTTAAAGTATAGAAATCAGAGAGATTTTATAAAAGGTTCATCCTAACATTAACACTATTTGAGATCACCCAAAAAATCGCAATGTGGCTAAGGGGTAGAAAATAAGGTTAACGTCTCTATACAAAAACCTCTCTAATATCAGGATTAATTTAGATTTTTTAATTGCTCTAGAGATTACCTAAATAATATCAACACGCTAGTTGATAGAATTAAGCCCTTTAAAAATATATAATGCAGGTACAGTGAAAGAAGTTTTCATAATGTCGTTAATTTATTTTTCGTTTCTAAAGAATCAAGTCAATACAATCAACGAATTAAAGAAAAAGAGTTTTTTTTGACCGATGTGCAACCATTAACGAATTTTTTCGAAGCTCTGTCGCCAAGGAAAATAAAAAAAGCCATAGTTTAAATTTAAATGCCTTACGCTTGAAGCAGTGCGATGATTTTTAAAAATATATATATAATCTTGCCGGGAAGAATTATTTGGGTTTTAAAACAGACAAATAACTTAAATATTTTAAAAGTTATTAAACTTAAAAATCACCAATTTGGCGATATTTTTCCATCTTGATAAAAATTATCAAACTCACTGCCTTATTCTCAGTTTTTGAAAAATTTTATGAGTCCAGGTAATGCAGCATTGGAATAAGCTTTTAAATATTAAAAAATTAGACCACAAACGCTTTTTATTTTTACAAAATTGTGGCTTTTTTCCATATTGACGTTTTGCGCCATTTTCAAAATAAACGTAGACAGTGCTGGTTTCATTATTATTGTTNTATCAAATATACAACACTTGCTTGACCTAACAGCCAGGAGTAACAGTTGTAAACTCACAGCAGTTATAAAAAGAGCATATTATTTACAAAAATGCATCATATCATATTACGACGGAGTCTAAGAAAAACAGCTTTAATGACCGCATTAACTACACAGGGAAAACTTGGAAAAATAAAGAAAAAAAAATAATCTAAAATAACAGGGGAAAATGTCAGGAATTTCGAATTTTTCCTTACAAACCGGGAAAATACAGGGAATTTTATTTTTTATTTTCTTGTTACAAAAAATGCTGACCTCGGTAAACGAAATTTATGGTATATTTAACGATAGTTAAGATGTACTTTATTTCATTTGCTGTAATATTATTTTTTTTAAAATATGTTCAATTGTTCCTTATTTCTCTGAGTTTTTCAGCAATTAAAACTATTATAGTATTTTTTATCCTAATATATCTCATACACGAGCACAGTAAATGAACAATACTATACTAATATCACTCTATACAATATACTCAATATACTATATACTCAATATACTATATACTCAATATACTATATACTCAATATACTATATATAACATGTACAGAGAAAACACGGAAATTTTCTTTTCTTCAAATTTGAGTGACAACTCTGAACTAGGTAAACTACGAAGCACGCTTGATTCCGCACTTTAATCGGATCACCCTAGTTAATCTGTAGATTAACTAGCGTGAGCAGTGGTATCAAATATACAACACTTGCGTTATGAGATGGACAGAGCCTTGGTTTTGTTTTAAGATGTGCAGTCCCTGGCCAAATTATTAGACGCACTATAAGATTCTATGTAAAATCTTAATTATCAGTATATACTATACAGCTTTATTGTTCTTACGCCGTTTGCACTTGTTTACGTTCGTGTATCAATGGGCTAAATTAGACGATATATAATATAAATTTGACTGTCGGATAAATTAGACGATATATTATATAAATATAGAATATTTATAACATCAGGTATTATACTAGTACTAGTGGGCTGCGCCCCCTGCTCGCTAACGCTCGCCAACCCCAGAAAATTGCTACGCAATCTTATATGGTTTGCTTCGTAAACCAAGATCGCATCGCTCGCTGCTAACTTAGGTACATTGCAAATGCACAAAATTCTAAGAATTCAAAACAATCATTCAAATCCATATAACAACTTTTTTTTTTTAAAAAAAATTACATCTTTTTAGTAAATACTAAGTCATTAAAATAAATTTGAATTCAAATAAATGACATGTAATTCGTTAAACCTATTAGAAATGTGCTATAGTATAATTCGTGATATAAATCATAAAATCGTCAAATAAATTCTTGATATATAAATTCGTGAAAAAGAGCGCTTTCGGCAAAATACTAAAATAGAGATCGATCGACAAAGACTACTCACTTCTGCCTAGCTTAATAGTATGAGATTGCCGCAGCTGTTGCTCTCTGGTTATTTCAGTTTCCGTTTTTAAAAGCGCTATATGTTGAGCCACCTCAGCTAGGTTTGGCATGTGACATTTTTAGCGGCAATCATTGGTCGATTCGCCGTGTAAGAGAAATAGTAACGTAAGCAAAACAAAACAAAGCAAACGTTGCCACCGATGGAAAAGAAATACAGCCAAAATTTGGGAGCCACGTAAGAGAATTATATATTAGATATTATAATAATTAGATCAAATGATTAGACGCACTGTAGTGTTTTATATGCAATACTTTTATATTTAAACATACATGTAATGGGTTTTTATAGAGAAGATTTTTTTATATACTTCCTATTTGTATTTACTTTCAACGTATTGTTTTACAATGTTAACCAATTGATGCACGAACGTAAGCAAGTGCAAACCGGTTTCATCCCAGTAAAAACAATAAGGCTGTATAGTATCACCTGATAATTATAATTTTACATAGAATCTTATAGTGCGTCGAATAATATGGCCAGGGACTGTATTACATTAATGGATGAATTCAATTAAAATTCATGGAATGGAGCTTCTTTATAAAAATGTTTCTCGTCGAATTTCATTATTTTCTCCCATTGAACGAAAAGGGGGGAAAAAAGAGAGTGAAAAGTTCAAGCTTTACCTTTGAATGCTTGGACGGTAGATTGGCTTTGAAAGCTTTCTTCAAATCGATTTCCGTCGTGTTCACTGTACCCGGCTGAAAAGAGAAGAAAACATTCTTCATTTGACATTCGAATGCAACACATTTAATTCGTTAGATTATTGAAATATATCAAGAGGTGATATAACAAGAAACAAATAATATAAATAAATTTTTTTAAAGTCATTTCCTACTCTGGTTAACAAAGAAAATATTTATTTTAGTTACTTTTTATTAATCATTAAAAGTATTTTATTAACCATTGAAAATTTGAACAAGATATATAAATACAAGGTGTTTAGAAATTCCCGGACTCATTTTGATGTTTAATAACTCATAAAATAATGAAGATATAAACAAACTATGGCATTTTTTGATGGAATAACTCATATATTTTCCTTTTCAGGTCTGAATATATTTACTTTTGCAAATATCGTCTGCGCGTGTGGTTAATTTCAGATAATTTAATTTTTCAGTCTAAATATCTGTACTTTTCTAAATATCGTCTGCTTATTAATTGGGTATAATATGAAAAAAACACAACTACTTCGATTTAGTAGGAACAACATATGACGCAATGCTAAACGAATGGAATTTAGTTGTTGTTTATTTAGTTANCGGATATTAAGGAGAATGCATACACCACAAGAGAAAGCACAGATTTTATGGTGGTTCATAGAAACGAAATCGATAGTGCAAGCACAGAGAAATTGCAGAAGAATTTATCTAAAAGATCCTCCACCCAAAAGCAGCATCTTGCGGTGGAAAAAGAATTTTCTAGAAACTGAAAGTATCGCAGATAAGAAACGTTCCGGTTGTCCATGCACAAGTGATAGACATTTTTAGACACTCCTAGAAGATCTGTGAGATCAGCGGCAAGAGAATTGGATATGCCAATTTCGACGGTGTACAAGGTTATTAAGAAACAATTAAGACTGCATACATACAAAGTTCAAATTGTTCAAGAAATGGAACCGGACGATAGGCCTAGGAGGATGGCGTTTGCAACAGATATGGTAGGAAGGATAGAAGATGAGGCTGATTTTCTGAAGCGCATAATGTTCTCCGACCAAGCATCCTTTCATGTTTCTGGCATTCTTAATCGCTATAATGTGCGCATAATGGGGATCTGAAAACCCCCATGAATACCGTGAGACACAAAGGGATTCCCCAAAGGTAAATGCGTGGTGCGGACTAATGCACGACAGAGTCAGAGACCTTTCTTTTTTACAGAAAAGACGGTCTCATCAATCGTATACTTAGACATGCTGGAAAACTTCGTATTTCCACAACTAGAAGAGCTTCAGCCACATGTATTTTTGCAACAAGATGGTGCACCACCTCATTGGGGTATCATCGTTCGTAGTTCTTTGAATGACCATTTTCCAGGAAGAAGGATTGGGCGAGGAGGTCCAATTCCTCGGCCACCCAGATCGCCTGATATAACGCCGCTGGACGTTTTTCTTTGGGGATTTATAAAGGACAATGTTTACAGGAGGATCGTGTCGAACATTGATGACCTAAAAGTCAGAATTTCAACCGCAATAGCCTCTGTGGATGCCGGCATGCTTGCCGCTACCTGGCGCGAAATTGACTATCGACTTGATATTCTCCGTGCGACGAAGGGGGCACAAGTGGAAGTTCATTGACAAGGG